GCCGAGGCTCGGTAGTTTAGCCGAGCGGTTTTCAGTGGAATCTGGCTGTGTTCCTTCTCTGTGGGAGGCGGGCACGCCATTCGCTCTGCACAGTGTGGTCTGTCTCTTCGGGTTTTCATGAAGTGCCGGCGCTCCGCACGTACAGTAAGCCAGCACCTGGTGCTGCCTATTTCATGCTCACTACTGTTCTCCTGGGCAAATGTGCAGAGGCAGAGGTGGAGTTTAATCAGTCTCTCCTCCTTCATCGAGAGGGGTCCTGGTGATGTAGGTAACGGGCAAAAACTGAAAAGGATCCAAGTGCTAAATGCAAAGGGGGTCTTTTTCGCCATGGAATTCTCTACTTTAATGAGTCAGTTTTTTGATAAGAAGAGACTGGTCAGCAGGCAAGAAGTGATTCAGGCACAGGATGTAACATCACAGCGTTCTGCCCAGCTGGGCGCTGCCAGGTACTGCTGGTGTAATAATAATAATAATAATAATAATAATAATAATAATAAACTTTATTTTATATAGTGCCTTTAAAGGTGGCTTCTCAAAGCGCTTTACAGGATGACAACAACAATAAATAAGGAGAATACACAAGATAAAACACAATTACAATATATAGAGGAGACCGTGGAAGACGGTATTAAGAAGAGCAGAGGGGTGAAGAATGGAACCAGTTCAGTAAAGGCTTTTCTGAAGAAGAGGGTTTTGAGTCTGGATTTGAAGGAGTTTAGAGAAGGTGATTCTCTGATATCCTTGGGCAGAGAGTTCCAGAGCTTGGGGGCATAGCAGGAGAAGGCCCTGTCACCCATACAATGTAGATGGGCTTGGGGGACAGTAAGGAGAGCAGAATTAGAAGAGCGGAGGTTGCGAGGTGTGGAGTAGGGCGATTAAAGTTCAGACAGGTACTGAGGTGCCAAGCCATGCAGAGCCTTGTAGGTGAGCATGAGGATTTTAAAGTCTACAAAGTCTACAACTGTGGTTGTCGTGAGGGCACCGAGGAAAGGGGCTCTGGGAAGACTCGCTGCGCTGGAGCCATGGAGTTTGACAGACGATGCTCATCCGCTTGCCTTGAGGTCCGGCTCTGTGGCTCTGTCCTCCCTGTGCGACCTCACTCCTGCTCCCAGCCGGGAGATCACCACACCTCCCCTCCCCTGCCTGGGAATGAAACCCTCTGTTTCCCCGTATTGACAACTTCATTCCTAACGGCAGGCGAGGAGAAGAAAACTGAAAGGACAGGTAATAATTAATAATAATTCCTTACACTTATATAGCGCTTTTCTGGTACAGTACAGTACAGTGCCTCCATCACTATACTGGGGCATTAGGACCCACATGGACCACAGGGTGAGCACCCCCTGACGGCCCCACTAACACCTCTTCCAGCAGCAACCTCAGTTTACCCCAGGAGGTCTCCCATCCAGGTACTGACCAGGCTCACACCTGCTGAGCTTCAGTGGGCTGCCAGTTGTGAGTTGCAGGGTGACATGACTGCTGGCTGGCTGAGATGACTCAGAGGCAACAGCAATCACATGTGTTGATCCCACTAGTACATATGCTTTCATTTTGGGGTGTTTTTTTCTCAAGTTCTAAAAACTTTTATCACTGCAATTATTTTTACCTCTGCTGCGAGATCAATGCGTGCTTTGAACGTTTGGACGCTGAAACGTGAGGTGACTGTTTTTTTTTCCTTTTTCAGCGTGGTCAGACTTAACCGCGGGGTCTCTAAGGAAAACCATATTGCTTATCGACTTTTTGTTCAGGAAGCGCAGCAGCGGCCTCATCAAACTCGGGATGATGGACTCTCCGGCACGTTTTATCATCGGAGTCCTGTGAAGAAGCATTGTTTCACAGCACAGTAGGGCAGGGTCTTCAGCACAGATTCCCGAATCAAATGCAAAGCCCTGGTTCGGCACACAGGAATGGGATTTGCTTTCTTCCCGGGCCCTGGCTTCCACCACGCACACACCCACAGCCGTTTCTATTAACCTCCAGCAGTGCGTGTGTGTGCACAGGTCCTTCTCAACCCAGCACTGCTCACAACATTAAAGGCGGCTTCCTCACAGTTTTACAGAACTCACAAGTGAAAAAGTATGCGAGACCTGTGGTACAAACTGACATTCACTCAGCAGTTTTTCTTTCTTTCTTTTGCTGCACTCCTCGAATCTGACTTTTCAAGGTTAAGCTGCCAGCCGGCTTTGTTTCATTCTCAGAATATTGTCACTCCCAGCGTAAGGCCAGTCAGCAACGATAGCTTATTATCGGCGGCTCCTTTGATGCATTCGTTGAGCATTAGAAAGCGAGATGGGGGAGAAAAAGCCCTCGGCACTGAAAGCTGACCCCAAAGGCCAGGATCTGGGAGAGCAGAGCTGAGCTTCCAGCTCAGCCTCAGAGACATGGACAGTAAGATGCAGACATATGGATGTAGCTGTTTGTTGCTTTGCTATTTGTCCTCATGCTCAGGCCTGTTTCCACTGGGCATCACTGCAGCAGTAAGATCTGGTGGCTAGACACAGCCCCTCCCAAGGGTTTGCCTGTACAACATGCATCACTTACTCCTTGGATTTGTAACCTTAATGGGTTCTGCCCTGCAACTTGTAGACAATCCCCTGTCTTCCTTAAGAGCTACAACTGCATTGGGTTGGTGTGTATTCCAGAGCTCTCTCTCCATTTCCCACTCTCTGTTCGGCTCACTGTGTGCTATATCATTCTTGGCACTGTGTGCTTTAAGAATTAGAATTTATGCAAATATATGGCTGAAAAATGAGCTGTTCCTCCTCTTCTGGGCTTCTGGTGAGATTCCAAAAAAAGAACCGACTTATTACAAAGATTCCCTTTGTTATGAAGCTACACAATAATAATTAAAAATGATTTGTGATCTGTACCAAATTGTACTATTTCCAGTGGTAAAAAAGACATAGTACAAACAGAAGCAAGTTCCTCTTGCATATTTATTATTACTTTTTTAATTTCAGTTAATGCTTTAACAACAGATTGTGGTGTCACAGTGAACAGTACAGACAAACCTAAGCACTCTTGTATTGTCTAGCTGCGAATAGAGTTATTTTTTGTAGGGATCTGCAGTTTCATTAGATTCTTGTTTCTATGGGAAATGTAGCACTAATGAAACTGCAGCATTAACCACTGTGCTCAGATTTGCAGATATGCTGTTGTTTTCTCCCCAATGTGCTTTATCCCAGGAGTACCCGTATCCAGTAGCGTGTCTGATGCTATTCTCCCAGTGCTGCTCCCATGTCAATGGACTGGGCTTATTACTGGCCCTTTACTGGAGACAGGCAGACTGACTGGCTTGGGAAAAACCATGAAGATATGTCATAAAAACTGAAACTGAAATTGAGATGGTTGACTGCTTTTCTATTCGGGTTGTCAGGGCCCCATTAAAGGGAATGCCTGCGTTGATCTAGTTGTTTCCAACAATTAAAACAGTGAGGAAAACAACCAGGAGACCTCTGATCCTGACAGGACTCTAGTTTTTGTGTATTGCCTTGTGTATTCCTGCTTCTTTACAATGCTGTCCTGGTTAAGCCTCCATGGCACTCCCCCTTAGTGAACTTTGGAGTTATTTAAATCCATTTAAAATCTTCCATTATTTAGCAAAGGTCCTTAAAAGGTTGTGTTAAAACATGACTTCCCAGCCATGTTGTTAAAACCAATCGCCCAGCTTCCTTCAAATACTGTCTAGATGGGGACCTGGATCAAGTAGCTGCAAGCAATCAACCATGCTAAGTAAGACAACTGGGCTCCTTTTAATTTGCAACCTTCCCAATAGTATTTCCATTTTCTTTTAATCATATCTTTCTTCTTCTATGAGCAATACAACAGAGAATTAGAAAACAGGGATATGTACACGTGTACCCCAACACAGCTCTCATCCTTAGGATCTCCCCCCTGAACAGCTCGTCCCACAAGAGTTCCTCGGTCCTGATGGTTTGACAGTGTTGGCCGACTGAGGGTTAAAGTTCAACATGGGTCAGCACATGTCAGAGAAAGCAGTCACTCAGCCAGCAGCCCTGTGACAGCCTGGCTGACAAGGCAGGATCTGCTGGGAGAGGCCAGGCTGCACAGAGCAGCTGGGCGCTACTTTAAAACAAGTCTCACGCACTTCTTCCATGACCCACAACTCCATGTGGTTCCTCTAGGGGGCGCTGCACATACAGGATTGGAAATAATCATGGATGCAAAGAAAAGAGTGGCGATATGAACAAGCAATTTCCCTACTTTGGATAAATCCTCCATTCAGAATCCAGTCGAGCCAGCAGACTTCTTCAGATCAAGCACTCACACGCGAAACCAGGGGACACAAGTGGAAACTATGTGGAAGTGCCTTTATAACTGAGAACAGGAGGCACTTCTTTACCCACAGGGTTGTGGGAGTGTGGAACAAGGTGCTCAGCCCTGTTGATAAACTCAATGGTTTCTTCCAAAATGAGATCCCTTAGCTTCTAACTTCCAAATAGGCTTAGTGGACTCAAAGGCCACCTCTCATTTGCTGTCGTTATCCTTATAAATAACAGTACTGCTTCTGTGATTCCCCCTTAGAGTCTATCTTTTCCATCAGTGGGTGAAAGTTGAGCTCTAAACTGTTGATGGCAGTTGCCGTCGTCAGCTGCAGCTGTGATGTCTGCGCTGTTGTCGTGCTCATCTCCCAGGAGCCTCGGTGTTCACCACATGTTTGAAATGCTGCAGTGGTGTCACTTCCTGTACTCACACGCCGCGCTGTTTGAAAGTGACATACTGTAGGATATCGGGTGACATTTCATTTTTGACACAAAGAAGGTATTCATTTAAAAATGCAATGAGTAACATGTATTATACATCCACCTTATCCTCTGCTTCCACAATTATCTCCAACTCTTCCTACCTCCCACAAGCAGCCAGTGTGCAAAAGGAATTCCTTCCTTTGGGAAGTGGGCTGTCTGATTCCCTGTAATCCACTCTGATGTGCTGTATCCCGTGTCTCTTGTCTGTCTGTGGTGTTATTTTCCTGCACCTAGAGAGGACGACGGCAGCCCCTGCGAGCGATGGGATCTCTCTTCACAGGCCTGGGAATCCTCTGGTACCGGAGCCGGGAAGCGGAGCGCGGATTAGGACACATCTCCTCCTCCGAGCGAGCGGCCCCATCTGTTTCCCCAGCCTCCGCCACCCCGTCTGGGTGCCCCCTGCCAAAAACCAGCAAATGTGCCTCGAGTGGTTTTGTGTATTGGTGACACGCCAATAATAATAAAAACAATTACCGGACTCCTGAGGTCTGATTCCGAGATAATTGAGTAGCTCTGCTGTTCAAAGTGCTGACAGAGGACAGTTTTCAAAGTCGTGCCCTGATATCCTGTCATCTCCTGGGGCCCTTCGTGGGAGCCCAAGACACCTAGAGAAAAGAAAACTTTATTATAAATGAGCAAAATCAGCTTAATTGTCTTCAGTAAGTCATAAGGAACATTTGCATTTAGTTTTACAATTTAAATTATAATGTGAAGGAATTTTCAATAAATGCTTTTCAGGGTTTGGATGTGTCCTGTGAATTTTGGGAAACATTAATCTATGGTTTGTCTCTTACTGATAGTGTAACAATGACAAAGGAAACTTGAGGCAGGGGAGACTGAATGGAGCTAATGAGTTGTTTTGCACTGAATGGGCCCTCTGTTGGTCACATGACCTATCGGTGGGTCATGTGACTTTCCTGCAGGTGTGGTACGCAAGAAGTGGGAGGGGCAAATGTGAAATGCCCCTTCGCCATACAGGTTATGTGTAAATACTGTACCTGGGTTTCATTTTCTCAATCAGTAACAGTTGTAGATGTCTTTTTGTTTTGCTCTACTGCAAAACTGCTTGTAAAAGTGAGCTGCAGGCTGGCAGACACTCTGCACATCACTCACACTGCGCAGCTGGCCAGCCTGTGAGAGTGCTGACACACTGAGGGCAGATGGCACCCCTGGGAGGGGAAAGTTCGCTCCCTACACCTCCTCCGCCAGGCACGGAATGCTGACTCAGCCCCTGAAACACCATTCCATCATCTCACACAGGAGTCACCCTCGCTGGCCTCTGACCCCCTCCTGCCACCCTCTGTCCATCACCCTCTCCCATTGCCTGATGAGGATCACTGACAATCCGCAGGGGCTTCAGAGAACAAGCAAGACAGGGGAAAGGACATTTTCGATATATTTTAACAAACAGCATCATCAACCAGATGGAAACAACTGCTGTGAACCCAAGTGCATTTGGCTGTAGACATATGTTTAATATAGCAATGTGCTGAAATATACCTAAGGACCTGGAGTTTTCTATGCCAATCACAACCTCTCTGTGCTTATGGCTTTGGTCAGAGACTGTGTGACTCTTGGCTTCAGCAATGCACACCTGTAGCGTTGCTCTGGAGACTCACCCTTCCCTGAGAAAGATACTCTGGGTGCTGGAGAGAAGGTCAGTGCGTCATGAGCCTCTCTTCATTTACATCCGATTTCATTTTGTGCCACTATTTGTAGATACAGTATTTATAGCTTATTGATTAGTTATTTCATTTGGCTATGCTCTGCTTGGTAAATAAGTTGGGTTTTTGGCTGCAGTTAGTTGTCATTATTAATGTGGTGCATTGTTTAAAAGGTGGAGTCTTTTTTCTCATACTTTGTGGAGAGAGATGTATAGACATATATCGTTCACTTTTTCATTAAAAAAATCACTCATCCCTGCAGGTAGCTCCTGACAGGCTGCTCTAATTGCCAAAGGTGTGACTTCCAAATCTCTGCCCATCAATTAGCAGAAAGCCACATACTGTAGGCTGGTGCTGGTCCCATCTTATTCCAGGAGCCTGACGGCTCTGACAGTGCGTGCCCTTTCTATCCCTGGACGGGACACAGAGAGTTTGGAACAGCAGGTCAGACCTGGCTAGCGTGTCTTTAGGAGGCAGGAGGAAACCGGAGCATCCTGGAGGCAACGCACACAGACTTGGGAAGGACATGCAAACTCCGCACAGAAGGACGCCCCAGATTGGAATCGTTCGAACTCAGGATTCAAGAGCTGGGAGGCCGCAGGGGTAGCCACCACTCCACTGTGCCACCCTTGTTTGATGGTTATTTTCCCCAGATTAACATTTGTTGAGCAATGTAATAAACATTTGTGCTGCGAGCTGATTAAAAGCCCATCTGTATGTTATCGTTATGGTAAGTATGTGTTTAGACACAGAAGAGGAGAGTGAGCGTGCAGTGGAGAAATAATAAGCTAATTACTCGATTGCACTGTGCCATGTTCTGTGAGCCGTAGCACTTCACTGAAAGGATGAAGGCCAGAGTCTGTTTTCCTCTCGGCTGTGCAGCGCAGAGAAGGGCACTGTGCTATTGTGTCTAACTCTGTCAACGAGCCTCGCTGAGAGTTAGTAATGAGTATTCAGCCACTGCATTTTGGAGAGAAGTGTAATTGCTTTAAAAAAATGTGGGTGATAGCTGTTTTCATTTTTTTTTTCCATTGCCAGTGCTGACAGCTCTTGCAGCAGCTCGGTGAAGCCGTCTGAGGCTGCTGTTAAAGGCAGGAAACAGATGGGTTCTGCTGAAATAGTGACCCGGCTCATAATGATGGCTCATTAAATGAATATAAATCCTGCAGATATATGCTGGGGTGGAACATGGACTGTCTGTTCCAAATGAGAATAAAAACCTTTAAAAAAAATTAAAAGGCAGGAAAACATCTGGACCGAAGGATTAGTTAGCTCTATTAGTTAGTTCTATGTGCAAGAGAAGGGTGCAGATATGACCACACGCTGCTGCGCTCGGGTGTTTCAGTGAGCTGAGGAAGGCAGAAGCTCTGTGGTATAAATGGGTTTTTCAGTCGTGGACTGGTGGGACTTTTCTGTGTTCTTTAGGTGCCCAAAAGGCCCAATTCCACAGATAAAAGAAATACTTGCACCCTAAATATGATTTCCCTTTCACAGTTTGTGTAAATGTTGAATAACCATAAAACAGTCTTGTACCATCAATTTTGCAGTGATCAGTAGGTGCTTCTACATGCTAAGTAGGATGTTTTTAGAATAGCTGCTTGCTATTAGCAGAAGCTCAAGCCAGTCAGGTGCTTGCTGCCAGCTGGGGGGCAGGGGGTGAGGTTTCTGCAGGTCAGGGCCCTGCCTGTTCCTTCTGAGGTCCTTGCTGGGTGGATCACACACTATACAGTGACAGTGACAGTGGCCAGCAAGGGTATTGACTGTCTCAGCAGTTCACAGTGGCCGTGTGTTGGAATATTTCAGATAACCCAAGGGGTCTGTTATAATTATTGCACTGTTGTGTTCCCTGTGGCTTGCTTTGAGCTGGAGCGCTTGCTGGACGTGTTTGGGACAGTTTCTAGCAGGGCTGCGGCAGAGCTCAGGGCCCGTGTCCAGCCCGAGACAGATGGAAGAGGAAATGGACAGGGGAGAGAAAATGAAACAGGAGAGCAGGTAACCTTAACACTGCGCACAGACGGGAGCCCGCCGTTGTCGTAGCAACGGAGCCCTACTGTGTTCGCAGGGTGGGGGGCACGTAAGGGGTCTCGCCTTTTCATTTGCAGCTCTTCACTGCAAACCTGGAAAAACCTTGACAGACAGCTTCATTTTGCAATAGCGTGGCTCCAGCCTTGGAGTGTATATTCAGATGACAAGGAGGAGACGAGTCTGTCCCCCGGCTGCAGTGGCTCCTGTATTCCTCCATTTCTGGGTTTATTTCAGGCCACTTTCTGCTCTCCGCCCGGCGGTTTTTTTAATCCTGTTTGGTTAGCAAAAGCATCACGTTTACCGGCCTTAACAAGCTTAACAACGGGGGACGCCCTCATATACAGAACACAGCGTGCACTCGTGCGTAATTCAGTGTTATTAGGCAAGAGCAGCCCCTCGAGATAAAGAGGTGCTGGCAACCCCAAGCGACTGAGCACTCCGCTGTGCTGTGATAACTTTCACATCCTCTGTTTCAGAGCACTGCTCATTATAAAGAAAATGACAGAGGGAGGGCTCAGTCTGCTGCTCCGAGGCAGGGAGGAAGACGATGTGCCGCAGCTCTTGCCCTGCGCAGTGACACCTCGGCCCCGGTGCAGACCGGGGTTCTGCTGGATCAGCGCAGCCTGTCGCTGGAGAGGGGTTTACTGCAAAGCCAGCCTCCCTCCGGGAGATATCCAGTGAGCCTCTAACTTTGTTTATTATCTGGCAGTAAATCCGTGGGGCCATCTGGGCTCCGGGCTCCGGCTGCGATGGCGCTGGGGGACGAGCCCCTCCTGCGCCCAGGGCTGCCGTCCCTCGCGAGGCGGCGGGTGACCTTTAACGCGAGCGTCTCGAGGAGCGCCATTCCCACCCCGCCGTACTGGAGTGGCCCTCCGAGCCCCTCCTCGGCCCACATTTACTCCCGTTCTGTTTTTTCCTCACCGCAGGAGAGAATTGGTTGCCATGAAAGGTTTACTGGAGAGGCTGGAAATATCACACCTCATAATAACTTCGCCGCCTGCATCTACCTGCTGGCACTGATGACGGAGCGGAGCAAAGCGGCTCTATTCTTATTGGGGAGCAGCCGTTTGAAAAAGCCCCTTATAAAATGTGCAGAGGGAGATTTTGAACATGTCCTTCCTCACCTGGGCTGCAGCTCCCAGGAAGACCTTACGGTTCTGCTCAGGGCTGCTGTTAGTGTGTATCTGTGTGTGGCTTTTGTGATGTGTTCATGTAATAATTCAGAATTGCTTATATAGCTTATATATAGCACTCCACTCAGAGCTCTTTAATGGTCAGAGCTCAGGTAATGAGGATCCCCTCCACCACCAGCAGTGTGCAGCCCCACCAGGGTGATGCTCCAGGCCACTCCCCACACACCAGCTCTCAGTGGGGAGGAGAACAGAGTGATGAAGCCAGTTCAGAGAGGGGGATTATTAGGAGGCATTGATTGGTAAGGGCCAGGGGGAAATTTGGCCAGGACACTGGGGTAACACCCCTACTCTTCTCAAGAAACAACCTGGGATTTTTAATGACCACAGAGAGTCAGGACCTCAGTTTTACATCTCATCCGAAAGACAGCGCATCTTTCCAGTATAGTGTCCCCACCACTATACTGGGGCATTAGGACCCACACAGACCACAGGGTGAGCGCCCCCTTCTGGCCCCTCTAACATCTCTTCCAGCAGCAGCCTTAGTTGTTGCAGGAGGTCTCCCATCCAGGTACTGGCCAGGCTCACACCTGCTGAGCGTCAGCGGGCTGCAAGATGTGAGTTACAGGGTAATATGGCTGCTGGCTTACAGTATGTAGAATTTGGTTCTGACCATAACTGGTCCTTACATGTTACATACATGTGTGACAGTGACACCATGCTGACACAAGTCTGTGGCTCTTTAAACTTTCCGTGTCACCTGGCCGGCTTCATGTGAAGAGTGTATTTATGGTCCATGAGTAACAATTTCTTCATAATTCACCGAGCACGCTCGTCTGCATGTGTTTAGGGCTTAGAAAAATATGCATGCATTCTACATTATAGTAAATTATTAGCTGGAATATAAAAAGTTAAAATAAATGGACTTCAAGAAGTCCATTGCCAGGTGTACGTTGGAGACTATTTTATTTAATACTGCAGTTGCTTAAGTTGGAGTGCCGTGACCTCTGACCTGGAAGCACTAATTACCCAACAAGCCTGGGGAAGAGTCCCTCCAAGCATGGCTCTCTCACTTTCTCTGTGCTCATCTGGAGTTATTTATACCCTGCTGCCTCTGAACTCCTGCATCCTATTACTCATTCTGAAGATTTTATTTATTTCCTCCTTAATCGTTGCATTAGGGGTTGCTAATTAAAAATCCCGTTCCTTAAGAAATGGGTCATTTTCTGAGGAATCTGCATGCAAGCAGTAGGAAAATAAGCTTTTTTGATTTTTGCATCATCTGAAAGCACTTTGCAACAATAAAACAATGACAGAAACACTGACCAGATTTGCTTTCAAGTGATACTGAACTCACAGGAAATTAAGAAAAACTACGTTAGTAATTTCTAATAAACAGTAAAAAAAGCACCTGCATTTTAAGATTTATAAGCTTATATAAAACAATGTGTGTACTTTTTCTGTAGAGACCAAACAGTAACTCACTGTTTCCCATGATGCAGTTCTGTAATCTTCCCAGAATTCCTGAGGCTGCTCTCTATAGGATAATGCAACTCATTCCTGCCTGATTTCCACAGGCCTTGGCAATAAAAGAACAAGGAAAAAAGGCTCTTCTGATTGCCTTCGATTGCATTATTAATAGGTTTTAATTAATTATGTGCCTTTATAGGCAGAGCTCTTTGGCAGTGAGATACAAGTATGGCTGTTTTCAGAAATTATCCCTCCCTTGGTGCTTAGCTGAGACTCAGTAGCCATTTAATTTTCATTGCTAAGAAAACCAATTTGCAAGACGGTGCCGTGAGCTGTAAAACACAGCTTCAGTCGGACACAGGAAGTGACGATGTGTCTGTAGTGCTCAGTGACTGGGTAATTCGTGAGCACAACAAGAGCATCCTGGAAATGCCCAGGTGAAGCTCACCAGAGCGGATCTGCAGGTCAGTTTTCCACCTTTTACCTGTGCAGGAATTTTACACTTCATTTCTCTTGGTATTCCTCAGTCTGTTAGCTACCACAGTTCACCAAACCTCTCCAAGCATTCACTGTGCTGACTGAGGTCACTGAACTATGAACATACATGTCCTTGCAGGCCAGCGTCACCTGGACAGCACACCATCCTGTTGCTAAGGCAACTGGACAGGACAGCATCCTATCACTAAGGCAACTGAACTTTCCATTTCCCCTGCTCTCACAAGCTCAGGGTCTTTGTGCTCATTTCTTGACTGCAGCAAAGTGTTTGACTGGAGCACAAATATCAGCAACTTCTGTGTTTTTATTAAGGCCTTTTAAGAGAAAGTAACAGTTTAAAAATGCTTGTAGTGTCTCCTTTAAAGCTGTCTTGTGGCAGTAAGATTAATAACTTAATATAGAGAATTAACCTAAGAGGTTTGGAGTGAGCAGGTCACATATTTATTTATCTGTGTTGCTCTCTGCTTCTCTCCCCTCTCCCTAGTGAGAATTTCTGATACAGTTTGCATCCCCGAGATTAAAATGCTGCATAATTTGTGGCCTGGAAACATGTAGTCTTTCAGTTAACAAAACTCGTGGTCAATAGCAGCCACAGCTCTTGAAAAACAACTTAACAACCAAAGTGCTTGAAAAACAACTTAAGTGCTATATCAAGTTGTTTTTTTCATTCCCATATTGATCCATCACTCCCTTATCCAGGCCAATCAGTTACCCGTACGACAAAGATGTATAAGTACATCCTTTTAATTGCTCTCCTTCGGTCTGGGATAAAAGCACGCCGAGAATCTTTAAAAGCTTTTGGATGCGTGCCACAGAAATCCCGTTTATTACTGGACAGCATCCTCTGGGTGCACAGCTGATGACTGCAGACGTAAACAGGTCTGAGCCTGTAGCTCGGTGCAGAGTGCTGGATATCCCCCACTGGTCACCCCAGCATGACACCTGTGGCTGGTGGGTACAGGGAGCAAAGCAATTACTTACATCCTAGTTTCCCCTTTCAGCTCTCACTGTCTGCCTTCGTACACCTGTTGAATGGTGCCGTTACACTTGACTTGGAGATCTGCAGATACGCCCATCTGCACAGCTGATGAGCGCCATTCAGAATCGCAGATCTCCACGCGTCGGGTCTGCCGTGCACTCCTACGAGCGTCATGGATCATCTTTCAATATTGAAATTGGCAAAGGTGCACGTGTTCGTTGCTCGTTATTACACTTTGCTAATGGATGGCAAAGCACAGAGGACCTGTGAACACCTGTTCAGCCTTGAATCTTTGCAAGAGGAGAACTAGAAGCCTCTGCAAGTAGGTGATGCGAGAGATTCGGGCAGGACCGGAGAATCATTTCACTGAGCGCTAATACAGAAAACACACGGTCGGCGACCCCTCTGTGACCCCTGTTCATCCGCCTGTCTGTCTGTCTGTCTGTCTGTCTGCCCAGGTGGAGGCTCCCCGGCTCTGGGGACGCCCAGCTGCTCGGCCTCATTGAGTTCACAGCACAATGACAATCCTGTTCGCCACACACCTGCGAGGCAGCGCCTGAATGGAGACAGAGAGCGAGAGATAAAACAGCTAAAGCAATAACAGAGCCGGTGGGGGTGAAGGGAATTGGGGGGGTGAAAGCAGATCAAAGGCGGGGGGAGAGATGAAACCGCCGAAATGAGAAACAAGACGAGAACAAAGCCGACTCTCTGGATGGGGAGTGGGGGGGTGGTGCCCACTGGGAGCCCGCTGAGCTTCCTGAAACAGGTGCCAGAGGTCTCCCTCCCGGCACGGCCCCTCACACCTGGAGCGCCTTTTCATTCTGCAGGTGAGCAGACAGGGAGAGAGGAAATGAGCTGGTTATGAGTGGGAGAACGACTCGCCCCCCCCCCCAGCACATCCAGCTCTTAGCGGCTGATTGGTTTCACACTGAAGTCCACCTCAGGTAGCACAGTCCCCACACGTCCCCATGGCTTTCATCCAGAAGCTACAAGCTATGAATGCAGGTTGTTATTGCTGCTGTTGTGTTCTGCGCTGCAGACTGGGGTTGGATTCTGAGGACCTGTTGAGGCCCTGAGCCTGAGTGAGCCGGGCTGCACAGCTGCCAGTCCTGTGCCTGGTGAGGGGGAGAGCAGGGGGCATGCTGCTCGGAATCCCACAGGGAATACTGGGTGTCTTCCAGGGAGAGAGAAAGAGCAATTCCAGCTGCAGACATTGCAACATCCTGTCGCACACTAGTCTTGCTGTGGGGCACAACTTCTGCTTCACAATCTGTCACTTCTGTGTGTGTGTGTGTGCTGTGTGACACACCAGTTTGACTTGTGCAGCTCTCCTGCCAATAAAGCACTTGAGCTTGAACTGGACAGACAGCAATGAGGATGTGGAGAGGAAGAGCTGAGAGAGACCAGGAGTGAGCAGAGAGGAGTGAGGAGTGAGGAGTGAGGCAGGAGGAGTGAGGGGTGAGGTGGGAAGAGTGAGGCGGGAAGAGTGAATAGTGAGCAGTGAGGAGCGAGGAGTGAAGAGTGAGCAGTGAGGAGTGAGGTAGGAAGAGTGAGGAGTGAGCAGTGAGGAGTGAGCAGTGAGGAGTGAGAAGTGAGAAGAGAGGAGAGAGCAGTGAGGAGTGAGGAGTGAAGAGTGAACAGTGAAGAGTGAAGAGTGAGAAGTGAGCAGTGAGGAGTGAGGGTGAATAGTGAGGAGTGAGGAGTGAGGAGGGAAGAGTGATGAGTGAGGAGTGAGGTGGGGAAGAGTGAGCAGTGAGGAGTGAGGAGTGAGGAGTGAAGAGTGAGCAGTGAGGAGTGAGGGGTGAATAGTGAGGAGTGAGAAGAGAGGAGAGAGCAGTGAGGAGTAAGGCAGGAAGAGTGAGGAGTGAGGAGTGAGGAGTGAGCAGTGAGGAGTGAGGAGTGACACGGTGAGAGAAGAAGCTGGGGAAATGGAAGGAGAGTCCAACTACAGCAGCAGGAGGAGTACAAGTGCGAGGTCAGGAAGGGCAGGGGGCTCCACTGCCCTGGCCGGCGGGACCACAGGAGGGTCTTCGTGCTGCGCCCTGTGGAGAGGGCAGGCGCCAGCAGGCACTGGCAGGAGCTCCTGACGAGTGGGACCTCAGAGCCCATCTTACTGCCAGCCGCTGCAGAGGGGAGACCAATTAGAAAGTGAGTTATTAGCCTCCTATAATGCTCCGCAAGCGCATTAAAATGATTGCCTTTCTTTTCTTTTGTTTGCTGTCCTCTCTCTTTCCCCCTCGCTCTTGCTGGGAGCTATCAGTTTAATATATTCCTCTTCCCAGGTGAGACGTGGCAGGGGGTCTTCTTTTAGATGTGTAATTGCTTTGTAATGTTTCTGCCCTGAAGGTGTCACACACAGCGTTAATAATGGGTTTCCTCGTGCTGGTGATATTTCTATTGTCGGCTCCAAATTATCGTGGAGATGGTGTCTGGCACTAATTCTGCGTGTCAGTTAATATCGTTAGAGCAATTGTCTGAGCAAGAATATGTGGTAGTTAATGCTTGTTATTGTCGCAGCTTTTTTTTTTCATTTTTATTTTTAATTCGGCGTTTGCCAACTGGAAAGGACCTCCTGAATTGCAGGACCAGCCCTGCCCTCCTCCTGTCCCATCATGGGATGCCATGTGTCTCCTGTCACCACATTTGTTCACCTGCAGTGTGTAGCCTTGCATTTTTACTGTAGACTTTTTCCCCCTACATACAATACCTCTAAGATAGGATCACTTTATATATATACATATACAATATACATATACAATTTCTTGCATTAGAAATTTGTCTTTTCACATACCCCAACTTGCTCTCCATGAGACACACAGACAGGTAGAGAAGCCTGGGGGTCAGAGTGCAGGGTCAGCCATTTATACAGCACCCCTGGAGCAGTTGGGGTGAAGGGCCTTGCTCAGGGGCCCAACGGAGTAGGATTCCTCTGCCGGCCGCGGGATACAAATCGGCCACCTTCCAGCCACAGGCGCAGATCCTGAGCCACTGCACCGCACCGCCTGCCTATGTACTTTCCTTTACTGGTGTCTTTTGGTTTGTTTTCTGATTTCCCATTTTTCATCTGGCCTTCACAAGCTTTTAGCATGATTTCTCCACAGCTTGCATTGCGGGTTCACCATGCTTTCACCGGGGAAACCCACAGTGTGACACAGCGAAGAGAGCTCATTCTCCCTTCCACTGAGGAGCTCAGCGCTGTTTGCACACCTGAATAACCCTAGATAGTCGGGCCTTCAGTGGCGAGCCTGAAAGTGACTTTTTTATAAAAATGATTAGTACAGTAAGAGCGCACTGGCTGCCTCAGGCATGTCCACTCAGATATATTGCCTTTTCACCAGAAAGCAAGAATCCCCCAGTGATCAGTCTCTCGCAATCCGAGGCAGAAAAACTTTGCAAATTGGTTCTTGAACCCAAAAGCGGCAAAAATCCTGATGCTCGGTAATTAAGTCAACAAAGAGGGAACAGGGGGAGAGAAGGCCAGTGCTGGAATGCCTGTGACCTTTTAACAGACCAATCGGGCTCTGAAGCCGCAGTGAGAATAGTTCTGCTGCATGTTCCTGAGAGAAACACACCTTGACAGGTGTGCACGGTGTACAGGGCTGACAACTCTGCTCAGAGAATGAGAGACACTTTGAACCCCACGCTCTTCAGCCTAAAGGCCCACACGGGTTTTTTAATTGCACCTGAGGTTTTAATTGGTCAATTGAGCTGATTATGCAACTAAAGGAAAAACTTCTACCCAGGTCTGAAGTAAGCGATGATTTTAAGAAGCCTGCTGCACCGCAACCCTCACCACAGGACTACAGGGTGAGTGAGAGTCTTAAAGAGAAAGCAGCAGCATTTTCCAGCATGAAATCATCATTTTAACAGACGTCTCAGAGTGGGCCTGTGGACATGTCATTCGTGATCTCACCCATCCCTAAAGAGAAAGCAGGGACACTGTTCCCTGGGCAGATAAGCAGGTGGTTTGAATGCAGACTGTTCCTGCAGCTCAGGCCAGCAAGACTGAGGAAGAGACCCCGGAGTGGAGAAAGGCTGGGGGTCTGTCTGTCTCACTCAGAGCTGAGAGAAAGAGAGAAAGAGAGAGGTCTCACCCCACTGAGTCTCACTGGATTCCTCGCAAGTCATCAGAATCATTGCAGCGGCAGTTTGTTGTAGTGAGCTGAGCGTTTATTTTTGATGGATGGCTCATTTTACACAGAAAAGTGAGCAAGTATAAATGTCAGTGGGTTTTAGGAGCTGTATGTGACGGACTTACTCTCAACAGAAATTTTCTGCAGGAAATGAATAAGACTCCAGTGAGAGAGGAGCAATGTTCAACTAAATCTTCTGGAACAAAGAAAACAGCAAAAACAGGGATTAGTATTGACCCGTCTGAAGAGGCCAAGAGAGATATTGCTTCTTCTTCACTTAGGTCACATTTTTTCCCCCACACCCTGTACTGTGCCTTTCTTCCTGGTATGGTGCACCACTGCAAATCCAGGAGGAAAGAAAATGCATTAAGTTAAATGCATGTCCACTGTCCGCCAATGTGGCTAATCAGGTGGAGCTAAGAAGCTGAAGCCTGGTTTGGGTAATGCAGAACCACACAGAAACAGGAATAAGAAGAGGGATCAAGTTCCCCCTTCCTAATTACAAATTTACTCTGTTGGCTTTACAACAGAGTAAATTAAAAGAAGAATGAACACTCACACTGTGAAGGAGCCCACGATAAATGTGTAGATAAATTATGTGATCCAGGTTGTCAAAAAAAACCCACCAGCAGTAACAAAAAGATGGAGTGCCATTGGTAACAAACACAGCTAGACTTCGAGCTTTACAAAGCACAAGACCTCGGGAATTACTTACATGACAGTACTTTTAATGCCAAGAAAGACAGAATGAGCTCAGACCCAGCATGCTTCGGTAAATAAAGCAGCATCATAAATAAGCCAGAATAAATCAGTCACTGGCTGCAGCATCTCATTGGTTTGCCTGGGTGGCCCAGTCGTTTTAGACCCAAAAGTGTTGCTGACGACAATGACCTTAAAAAACCTGCTTGCCAACAGGTTACTTCTCAAAGATACGTGGTCTCAAACACCCTCTAACTGACCCAACGTGCTCACCTGGTCTGTGTCAGAGTACCATGTGTGAAGATAAACTTTTTTCCCAGCACATTCTGTGTTGGGTACAACTCTCTTTTCAAAGCTTAAGACATAAGAGTCGGGGTGGAGCAGTGGCTCTGTGGCTCAGCATCTGCACCTGTGCCTGGAAGGTTGGTGGTTCAAATCCTGCAGCTGTCAGAGGAATCCTACTCTGCTGGGCCCCTGAGCAAGGCCCTTCACCCCAGCTGCACCAGGGACGCTGTACAATAGCTGACCCTGTGCTCTGACCCCAAGCTTCTCTCCCTGTCTGTGTGACTCATGGAGGGCAAGCTGGGGTCTGTGAAAAGACAAATTCTTAATACAAGAAATCCAATAAAGTGATCTTATATACAGTGCATATGCTCCATATAATAACTCATCAATTTGTGCAGTGTATCGAGAAGAAGAGAAGCTATTTTTGTTGGTAGCCCAAAAAGAGTCATTCTTTCTTTTCACTTTTTTGCCATGGACAGGAGTTAAATGTCATGAATTTTTAATGCCTAATGAGCCCATCAGCCCTTAAGTGAGCGCGCTGTAACATTTCAGCCTAATTGGCTTCACCAGGCTTCCTTTCTTCTTCCAATAGATTTATTGGGGATGGGGGGGTCTGCAGGAGCTTCTGGCACAGCAGGGGACTGCTTGCCTGGGAGGGGGGTGGGGGGGTTGCTCTGAGGACAGCGGACCTGATCCGGCTGCTGCGAGCGGGAGCCGTCACCCCCACGTCAGCCCCTCTCGGCATGCGGCTCATCCGGGCTGTGTCACACGGCTGCATCAGGGCTCTGATGGTCCCATTCCCACTGGGCGGCTGCAGACGGGAAGAGCCAGCGCCTCGTTCCCGGCTGCACCTCGGGGTGGGCAAACAGGGTGGTCGTGAGTTCAGATCCAGATCCTGTGGGTGGGGGGGCTGCTGGTGTGTCCTGGATCCAGGTACTTCACTCAGACTGCCCCACTAAATGCCCCGCTGTACACCTGGGAGTCCAGGTCAATAATGCACATATTTCAGCTTGACTTTTCCAGCCAAACGAAGGATTAAATAAATGGAAAACGTGTCCGCTCTGACATCTGCTCATCCCGGCTGCCCTGTGTCAGTGAGGAACTCCCCACCCCCTCCCTGCCACAGCCTGCCCTGGACACAGCCAGACACAGGAAAGGTTACAGCGGTGGGGCCCCTCACACTGGCTTGGTTGTCACTACAGTATTGATCCAAGAGTCTTATCCTGGGAGGTCTAGAGAGTCAACAGAATCTCTCAGCACCAGCCGTCTTCATTTCGTATCCCTGCAGCCCCCTCTTCCACCCGACTGTCTGTACGCCCTTGATCCTCACCCCTCAGGAGCAAGGAAACCAGCGCTGCTCTGTCCTCTATGACCTTTCAGCGGCTGTTCAGAGGGCACCTGTGTCCTCCCTGCTGTCCAACACACCCTTCAGTAACTATTCCCCTGCACCATGCTCCTGTTCCCAACTCTCAGGCGGGTTCTGTAACTTGTAACTAACTTGTAACTAACTGCCCTCCCTGTAAGCATGGAATACATCCCTACAGGGTGCCCCTGTTACCCCTCTGTGTCCACGCTGCCTACGCTGCTTCAGTTCTTACTCCCTCTGCAATGCACGTGTTCTCATCCACTTGGTGCCTTTTCGTCATTTTACTGTTCCCTGTTCTGGCGCTTCATGTGAATTTTCTCTATTGCATCCCACCCTTCATAAGGCCTCCTTCTAAGCAAACACTGATAATGCTGAGAGCTCCCAGACTGCTCCGTCAGTCCATTGCTGGAGCAACAGTTAAAGGCACGAGCCTGCTGAGCATTTCTGCCATCGAGCAGACGTCCTCCCTGTCCAATGGCTGTGATCGATCCCTGAGCAGGCTGCTTCCTGTTTTCCCGGGGGTTGCTGAGCTCCGAGATTTGTACCGTTCCTTCTGGCAGACGGGGCCCGATGAGCACAATTTGCAAAAGCACCGCTCAGTCACACGCTCCCTCCCTCTCTGTGTCTGTCCTGGCACTGCCAGCAATTAGTGGCGGGCCTGAAACTGTGGGCTTAAATCTGCACAGGCAAGGCAGGAGCATGTCTGGCGCATTGCCTCCAGGGAGAACATTACCCAGGCACCCCAGGGTCCCTGACTCCCAGGGCGCGGCAGGCGAGCGTCCTTTCCCTAGACCTGGGGAGAACACTCAGCTCTCCGACAGTCACGGCAAGCGACCGGGCGAGCTGGGGCAGGGTAGCGCGCAGGCCCTGTTTCTTCCCGACGTGAAATTATCGAAAGCAATCAAAGCCCACACCGATCATTCTCAATGAGGCCTTAACAGGTGATTTTGTTTCCTCGGTCCTCGATTGAAATCGTGCTCAAGCACTCAGGAAATCAGTTCGCCTTCCCCTTCTGAACCCGCCAGCCTGGAGACACAGAATTGACTCACAAAGCATGCTCTCTAAAAACAATGAACAAAAAAAGCCTGTTATTTGGAAAATCCATCGGCGTGCTTCAACACAAGCTTTATGCTGCTGTTGTTTCTCCATGATTGTTTATGACTGAGGTCAGCAGGTCTTGAGGACCTCCTGCTGGTGGGGGTCTTGTCAGACCCCCTGTGCTGTCATTAGGCCCGGGTGAGGGCAGCGCACAGGAGGCCTGGCTTCGGCGGCACAAGATAAACCTTGATGATGATCAACACCCTTCTTCTTTCTCAGACATTTCCTCTCACGTTCTGTACCAGACAGAATTGCCTGGATCTGGCAGAGGCCAGATTGAATTACCTCCATGGTCAGCACCCACTCTACTCTCCTTAATGCAGCTATGCCATTCCATGGGGTCCCTGATTTCTACTGCCAGTTGTGTGGTGACACTTGGAAGGTGACTAACCACTAAAGAGGTGGGTAACTAAGAGGAAGCACTTCGCTCTTGATCAGATTAGAAAGGGAAAGTCCCTTCTGCTGAGCAGAGGATTCTGTAAACACTCTCTGTCATTGTAAATAACAGGAACTCTGAGCAAACGACTGGGAACAACAAGTGGATGGATGAGTGAGACTGGGATTTGTGCCCTCACGGGAAAGTGTGGTCTGTGGGTGTCCTCTCCCTAAGGGTGGACTGTTGCTGTCCGCAGGATGTCCGGTCAGGAACAGTTTTGGACCCGTCCCCCGCAGGCACCAAGCTGAAGGGCCTGGGTGAGACTGCTCTAGCAGTGAGGAGGACCGGAGAGTGCTCACAGCACCCTGTTAAACTTCAGGTCAGTCAGCTGGACGAATGTGGCCTCTGTGGAGTGTGCGTGTTCTCCTGGAATGCTCCTGGTATTCTGGTTTCCTCCCACAGTCTGAAGACACACTGGTAGGCTAATCGAACATTGGCCTGGTGTGACTTTGTCCATGTCCGTCTGTGTGCCCTGCAATGGACTGG